AAATAAACAAAATAACATTTTCACATCACTGGAGTTTGTTTCCAGATGCACCACATGTTCAGGAGAGGTGGAAAGGGTGCAGCCCCATGCAACAAGTCTGCCAGTCTGGTGTGTTTCATTTATTACTATTGGTGGGTCAGAGAGGCGGGTGTACTCAAACGCTCCAGCATGTAGCGAACACTTTTTCTTGGTGTGTAAACTGAAGGCGTAAAGGCTGTATTGCGAATATGATGCATACTTGGTTGGTATATAAAATATGTTTTGATTCTTATTACAACGGTTCCTTTAATGAGTTTGTTCTGCGACAGTCTCGTATCGGGCGTTCAGTCGTAGTACCTTGCGCTCCTTGTCGTTGGAGGACACTCCTAGCATGTCGGTGTTCAGTTTGGTCGAGTAACGACTTTGGCTGATGCCGAACTGGGATCATGTGTCATGTGCCACCACTGACATCTGACGCACTGAAGCTGCAGGGCTGGCTTTTATTTGCAAATTTTCCTGGTAGTTTTCTGTGTCAATGTAGCAAGTTCGGGCATGTATTGCTTTCGTGGCTGTGCCTTTTACTGTACTGTTGACTTGATGGCTGGCAACCATGTTTGTTTGCTGTCCCAACACCGCCTCTATTAGTTGGCTGTCCAAGCCACTTCACTTACATTCTGTAATGGCGATTTCTTCTGCATGCCACAACCATTGCATCTTCTGTAAGTCTCGTGTGGCTAAGTGGTCGGGTGGTGCTGGGCGTCCAATCTTTGAAAACGACCAACTGTTCCACTCTATTTCTTCAAGTGACTCAGTGGCATTTTCTCTCGAAGTTGGAAATCGCTAGCTTCGTGGAGTGGACACAGATAATTTGTGTCGGCAAATTATATTGCCCTAGGACGACGACAGACTCCAAATCAACTGTCATTGCATTGCCGCTCACCTGCATTGTTGTGCTTAGCGTAAAAGGATATGTCGAGCTTACGTCCCATCGAGGTGATAGGGGTCAAGAGCTTCGGGGTATGTCAGCACCAGGGACAGAGGCTACCGAAGATACTACTCAATATTCCATGGTTGCTCCTCGATATGTGGTCAGGGGTCTTTCGGCACAAACCCTCGCAGGCCTATTCACTGGTACGGGCACCTCTGGTAGACATGGTCGGCCCCGTGTAGTGGTAGCAGGGTGGTCGTCGGTTGGCCGCTTGTAACACCTCCGCCTTCTTCGATGTACTTTGTTCAATGCAGACCTACACTGGATCTTTCCGACGTCAGCAATACTGCGGCATTGGGGTGCCCCATTAAATTGGCATACTAATGAGCAGCCGGTGGCAGTCATCGTGCCACTGCGGCATAAGTCACCCTCGGTTCGTCAGATGCCGCTTTGCTTGAAGAAGTTTCCGGTTGAAATGCCTGTTGATCTTCCCAAATAATCTTGGCAATCGAAATAAAACCCGAGTGACTGGTGGCAGGAAGTAGCTTCCTGATCCCCTCCCGGACAACATTGTGCTGGGAGGCTGGCGTTGAAGTTGCAGCTGGACGACTTGAGTGTCGAGATGCTGGAAAGTTGTTGATGGTCATGCGCTCGGGCATGCAGTGCACATGCAATGTTTGAAGCCTCGGTGATGAACTCTTCGGCTGTTGTCAGAGGGTGTTGGACAAGGCTGCCAAGGATGTTGTCCTTCACATGAGGGACATATGGATTCTCAGCTTCTTGTCTTCTAGAACTTGAGGGTCGGCGCGGGCGATCGATCAGTCGCAAAACATCCTCTACGAAGGCGGTGATGCTCTCGTTAGGGCAGCGTCTCTCTCATCAATGTTGGCTGACGAACGTGCACTTCAGCTTGATCTTGCAAACTTCCCATGACGCTGAGAAGGATTCGTGGTTGTCCAACCAGTCTGGTAGTTTCTTCCACGACAAGTATACGTTCTGTAGGTGCCTGGTTGTCTGTCCACCTATTGTGGCGGGCAATACGGTCATATTGTTCAATCCAGTCCTTGATGTCTTCATACACCTTGCCGTGAAAGGGCATCGGAGTGTGAGGTGCGACGGGCATGCAAAAAATGGTGGGAGTGGCCGCGGTTTGCTGCTACGGGTTTGTCATTGTTGGCTTAGTACGCTTCAGTTTTTCTGGCAGGAGGCCGAATTCCGGTGGCTCTTCCTGGTAGCAGTGACTGGCTCAAATTTCAGGTTCTTAGTGGTGTATTTACAAGGTTCGCTCTAGTGGAACTCGCTCGTCTTGCGGTTTTTCTGCTAAACTCGGGATAGGAGTTGTTTCAGTTCGCCAGGGGCTAAAGATGCGAGATAGCTTGCCATCCGTGTCCCGTTATCGGGCAACTCAGCTGAGAGCCACCAGGATGCACACAAAGTGAAAGGCTAAAGGTAAAGTACCCAGCACCTCCACCAGAAAATACGATGACAGCCGAGCATGGCCTGGAACTTTCGAGAATAGTAAAGATTGATAAAAGAAAGGACTGGGACAAGCATATCCGTGACAACATAACAAAACTGACAGAATAGTCTATCCTGATCAGTAAAGAAGCTGCATTGCTTTAGTGGCATTCTGTCCGAATAACTTCTCCCCTTCAAGGTTTTCATGACTGCCGTGATGAAGTAAACTGAATGTGGGACCACTGTTCTGGTAATGAGCCACTGCAGACTGTCGCCGCAAAGCGGCGTGAAGTGAACGGGTGGGCTGCGTAGGTAACACTTGCCCCAGTGATACACGATTAATGAGATATGTCCACTCAGCTTGTGATTTGCTTAACGAGTGCTGATAAAACGTATATATCGACGAAACATGGATCAGACCAGTGGATTAAATGCCAACTGCAACACCTGCGATCCGCGAAAGTGCACAATTACGCCAGAACAATCCAGGAAGCAGCACAGCAGCACCTAGCACTGCACAAGAACTAGCAACTTGAAGGCAGCTCTTCGGTGCGCTGCACACCTGTGCTCCGTAAAAGTGCACGTGTACGCCGAAACAATGTAGGAAGCAGCACAGCATCATCTAGCACGGCACGGGAACTACCAGCTTCAAAGCAGCTCTCCGGTGCGCCACACAACAAAAGTGAGCCTTCAGTCATTTGAACAAAGCGGCACCACAATTACAGACTGCCAAGCCCGACTCATGCAATTTCCGTAGCTAAACTGTGTATCCAAATACATTACGCATGCTTCAATGTAGACCTCGAAGATTCTGATGATCAACAACAGCACAGAAACTTTGCATTAAAATTTTTCCTTGCGATATTCGAATTCATGGTCCAAGCAACACAGGGCTGACTGTCTTTCGTGGCAATATCCCTGTCGATCACCAGCAAAATGCACACTGTTCCTCCATATTTGCACGTTATACCAACGTGAGAGATGACGCTGAACTCTGAAGTTGCTTTCGACCAAGTTCATGTGGCGGCTCCCACACCTGAAATCAACTCTATGAGGCCAACGACAACAAACAATGAATCTGACAAGCTCTGGCCAATGCTCCAGCCCAGTTGAGGCCAACCGCTGCCTGGGTGCTGCCATCTTCTCTGGAGCGTCACATATTTGGTTCAGTCATGTGACAAGTAGACACATTAGCGCACAGTGGCAGCAGCCTGGGAGGGGGGGGGTCACTTCTGAGTGCAGACTGGAACCCCGGTTTATCGCTCTAAGCCCCTCTTACCTCGTTGCTGAGGCGTGTCGTGAAATGCGTCGGTTCCACACCGCCTGTAGATGTGTTCAGCAATCTAGCTTATCCGCTGTTTACATGCAAACAAGGCAAGTTTCCGTTCGACTTGATTTGAAGCCAGCGATACGCCATCGCACAACCGCTGTTGTCACGCTATGCCCAGCATGACAGTCGCCCTAACTCAACATCACCCACCCTAAATATCACAGCTTTTTTTTCTTTGGGCAATAGCCCAACCAACAGTCTGGAACACAACAGTAGCGGTTCATACCTCAAGAATCTTGGCAGTCTCCAGGCGCCAAAAGACGGCAAGAAATGCCAATTTCGTCCGCCTCAAGCGCATTGGGGAGCAAAACAAACAAAACAAAGAACATGTCAGATGTTTCGCAAACGACGTCACATTGCCAGCCGCTTACGCAGCTTGGAAAATGCACCAAAGTTAAGAAAAATAATGATTAATATTCGCGTGGTAATTCTATTTCACCAGGATTTAGTAAATTCTACTTTAAAGAATATCACTGATGCGGTGCGTTCTCTCCCAGAGTTCCATTCGAGCCCATCGCCTTCCGCACGCTGCCGGACCATCTATCGTAAGGCGGATCTACCTGCCGAGCGGAAGCCGCCAGGACACCATCCGGTCGCACCGCTGCTGCAGGTTTCAATGGTCGTTTCCCCACCTGCCTATCTAACACCCTGATCGCAATACTGGTGTTGCTGTGACCGGTGCTTTTAAGCTCACTTGTAGTTGCACAAGAGTGGAGAACCGAAGGACACTGTCTTAGTTGTACACACCAACCCACGATGGAATGTTAAATCGTTAAGATAGTACACTTGCCGCGGAATGAACGAGCCTGAATTATATGCTTCCAAAATGGTTTTTGCTGTCCTAAAATGACTGACCAAGCACATAACTGCATCAGAAAAAAAAAAAATGCATTATCGATCAGAATGCCAAGCATTCTGTGCTAAAATAAACAACCTAAACGTCAATACTATGACTGGTTCTCGTCTCGCCAAAAAAGAGGCATCACCACACGTTATTAATTTTGTCTCCCCTGAATTTGCAACAATCTATTCTGGCAACTCTCCGAATGTGTCCGTAACATTTCACGTTCGGTTGCAAAACACTCGTATTCAAAAACATTCTGCCCCATCAGTAAATGCGATGAATAGGACACCTCCAGCAGCAACACCGAGATTAATCCCTTGGCAAGACAGCATGCAACACAAGGCAGTGCCCCAAGTGCGGCAGAGCGCACCACCGACGAGTAGGAAACTGTGGCTGCCCGTGTGCTTCATACCCAGAATGCGCAGTTTGTATCCATTACGCAAGTTTGCCAATGTTTCTCATTTGTGGATACTTGCATTTTTATTGAAACATATCATATGAAATATATTTACACATCTCCTGAGATCAAAGGGCACAGCATTTGAGCTTTCAGGAAGGAGTATTTCATTCGTGATTAAGAATGGCACTTCACACTTGCGGTACTTTATTTTTTCGGATTCCAGTGTCCTAGTCTATGCCTCACTATGCAGCAGTGCTGCACACTTTTGCGATGTGTTCAGTCACAGTAGTGTGAATGCAAGATTTCAAAGCATAAAGGAAGTTATGAATACCACTTTCTGGGAAAAGTGCAGTGGTGACCCTAGACAGGCAACCACACCTGCATGTGAAACTTTCCAAACTGACAACAGAACAGCATTCCAGATGCAACCACAGAGATGCACAACCCCCTCTAGGTTTGAAATAGATGTTAAGAAAACCTTTGGCATTATTGCTCACAATCATTACCACTGACAGAAAGGAAAGAATAGGTAATACAGCACGAAAAGCATTGTTTCTATCTCAGCTTTTTACACAATATCTGGAACCCCTTATAAAGAAAACATGACAAAAACTACCTAGTCCGTGGACTAAATGATTGAAAAAAAATTTCAGTCTATTTCACTTTACACAAAATATGAACAATTTATATTTTCAATGCCTTAAGGGAGGACACTATTCAAAAGGGTCTACTTTTGAACCTTTGGCTGAATATGAATTAAATTTACAGTATATACTGGCAGTTGCAAGGCAGAATGCAGTGCAAAGTTCCATCTGTACATGAATTGTGAAAAAAATTACAGTGACTTTTGTCAGGGACACACTGACATTGTTTAGGTAGGAAAACTATCGGAAAACTAATGTAATTAACTTTTTCTTCACTAGATGAGCAGCAGAATTCCTGGAGAGTGCAGCTGTGAAAGCAATTTCCAAAAAGTAATTTATTCTATGCTAACATCGCGCTGAAAAATCAAATAAATTGATTGCATTTTATCTTGTCGACAAAATCTTAACATACTTAATAAAAGGCATCCACAAAGTAAAAAAACAATGCCACAGCTGCATGGCCCATTAAATTCCACTTAAGCAAAACCATGAGTGAACCTTTCCTTTTGTCCCATTACCAAATAATAGATTTCCAAATTGAAATTTATGCCGAAAATTCCCAGGACACCTAGTACTTCTTACGAGTTGTGAATGTGAAAACATTAATGTCCGCTCCCTTAGTTCGTCTGCAGTGTATTGGCATGGACGGCCACGTTTTGCTACTGCCGAGGTTGCGGCCGCCAACGATATAGATACCTCAAACAGCACCATGTTCCTCGGCGCCAAGAAGAGCAAAAACAACCGCAGCCCTCCTCGCCCCCCCCTTCGGCAACGCCTGACATGAGAGGGGCAGGCAGCGTGCGCACCACCCTCTCCCTTTTACCGGCGTGTGGGCCGCAGCGCCAGGAAGAGAGCTTCTCTGTGGGGTGGCGTTCCTTGGAACTATGACATGACGGGTCGCAGCCAATGGCTATATAGGAGCCGTTTCTCTCTGCCAATGGGAAAATGGGAATTTAGGTCGCGTTTTTGGCGATTACAGACGACTTCGGCTTTGCTCTACGGGACAGTAGATGCTTTCGGGTTAAAAGTGGAACGGAGACAAATCTGTTCGAACTACTCGAACCTCTATCTTGCTTTTAGCATTGGTGGACCGAAAAAGTTTTATGAAAAAAACTCTATGCTGTGTAAACAAAGGATTTTGTGAATACTCTCTAGATGATGATAGATGTGAATATGACATTCTTCAAAATCAACTTTGTTTGCAGAAATTCTTTTTTTCTGGGTAGTTGAGAGGAGCAGAGAGACAGCAGAGAACACAAGATTCAATAAATATTTGGCAGTAAACACCTTTACAGTCCGAATTTATCAGAAAACAACTCCAAGAGGGAAAGAAAATTTTTTTGTTGAAAATGGCCCTCTGTACCAGAATTTCACGCGGCATATCCAGTTTTCATAAACATTGTGTTGAGACACTTAAGTGCTCCTTTTTCTGCCAATGCAGTCGGGTCTGGTATAGCCCTGTTTGTACTTTTCATAGAACAGTTGCTGCACAAACTTTAGCAAACCACTATCGCAAGCTCATTCTCTATGTCGGAAGGGTGTTCTCTAGGTTCCAGCGGCAAAGTAAATAAAAAAAAGAATGCACTGCTATCAATTACTGCAATGTAGCAAACAATGTGTCATTGAGATTGAAACATAGTATCTCATAGCTATGTTGCACACCCTGACTGTAGAAAAGTCATTCTTTCACCTCATTTCCTTTTATTTATGTTTGCACAAATCATTGTTTCAAAGTTTCAAACTGTGTGATGACAAAACTCCACAAAACCTCCGTCCTCTACTAAACATGATTGAAGACTACGGAAAACTTCACATTATGTTCTCAAATTTTCCGGAAAATACGCTCCCAAATATGCGTTCTTGTAATCATGCATCCTCATGATGCATGATTACAATCTATTCTCCTTTGGACTCCACTCAATCCTAATGAATGAATTGTAATGAAGAATGATTTGAATCCATTTCACTTCCCCCAACCCTCAATGATAATGCCCACCATCATACCAAAACACTTGATACGCAACGAAGTGTCGCCTGGCAGTTCTCGATCACTGTGCCTTCCGGACTAGTTCGTCGAACATCTTCTTCATGAGCTCCAAGTGCATCTTGTCCGTGTCGTTGCGTATCTTGCGCTCCTCCTCCTCCATGTCCAGCCTCCTCACCTTGACCGCCATCTCTGCTTCGAACTTGGTCCTCTCGAAGGCCAGCCGCTCTTCGTCGAGCTTGAGCCTTCGTTCCTCAAGCTGCAGTTCTTTTTCCTTGATCATTTGTTCCCGGTCCACTTGCCTTTCGAGGAACTCCTGCCGCCCGTCCTGACACTTCCTTTTGGCCCCTGGAAAACACACCAAAAAGAGGACCATTGTAACAAGTTTTTACCAATTTATTTTGGTACCCTCAGGGTCTGGAGGCATTAAAGAGGGGAGGGGCAAAAAGCTAAACATAATGGCGGCCAAAAACAAGACCAATACAAAAAGAAAATGTGAGCGGTCAAGTTTCAACAAAAATGGCTGGATATTGCAATTTTAAATTATGACCGACGATATTGACACTAACTATGCGGGAAGGTGGTTCCATTCAGAAGACATTCTGGGGCGAAAGGGGCGATGTGGGCAACAGTATGACAGTGATGAATTCAGACTTTGAATAGAACATTTGCTATATCCCCCAAGCGCCCTGGCCCGAACTCGAGAAATCATGAGAACGGTGTTCCTTCACATCTTTAGTGATCGGTAATTTCGAACTTATCTTTGGTTACACAGCTTTAAGCTTAATTTCGAGTCACCCTGAACAAGTGCCTGATATACCCAAATGACCTGTCCATATCGCTTTTAATATTTCTCCTCAATGTCAGCATTTTTGATACTGTGCATGCTGTCCACCTTTCAACCTGGATGGGCTGCAGAAATTTCTTACATTATTATCATTCTCGTACAATTTCAAAGACGCTGATATTAAGTTAGAAACGCTAAAAATGCACTAAACAGCACCGCGGACTAAGAGCTAAATCCTGGTTTTTGTTGTTGTGAATTCTCGGCTTTTTAAGCAATTCCTGCTAAAACAAAAATCATGAGAATGATAATATTATATAAGAGATTTCTGCAGCTCAGCCAGGTTGAAAGGTGGATTGCATGCACAATATCAAAAATGCTGACATTGACAAGAAATTTTAAAAGTGATATGACAGGTCCCTGGGGTATATCAGGCGCATGTTCACGGTGACTCCGAATTACGCTCAAAAAGTGTGTAACCATGGAACTGGTTGAAATTAGCGATCACTAGGGAGCTGAAGGAACACCGTTCCCATGATTTCTCGAGTGCGAGCCGGGGCACTTGGGAATATTGCAAGTGGTTTATTGACGATCAATGTAAGAGGAAATATACAGAGCAGGAAAAAGCAGCTTATCTTTTATCACATTAATAGCGAGATAATAAGCAAGTTATGGTCTTAACTAATAAAAATTCCACCGCTGAATGTTGGAACTATTAGGCAGAGAATCAAGAAAACAAGAATAAAATTAACTGTGTTTATACATAGAAATAGAGAAAAAGTGAGAAAGGAATTTAAATGTATCTTACGGTAAAGTGATGAGACACAGAATATACAGCATGCTTTGAATTTTCGCACCATATGGGTGATAGTTTTTTTGTAGCAACATGTAACTATAACGATGATAATCAAAGCTGGTCTGCTGGCACAGTAGTTGGTGTTGTATTATGAAGCGACAGGTTTGTGGTTCAATTCTTGTTGGGGGACAGGGTGGTTTTTGGAAAGACACCTGGTTGTGTTGGCATATTTTCACAGCAACACTTGGTGATGCTCTTGACTTGAAGAGCAGCCGTAAAACACATGTTAGTAACTTCACCATACGAGTAACTGAAGAAAGAAAGAAAGACAAGGCTCAGCCCCTGGCCCCGATGGAATTCCCAACGCTGTCCTGAAGTCTTGTGCTGAAGTTATTTTGAGTTACTTGGTAATTTTGTTTACAAAATCGGTGAAATATGGCTTCTTGCCTCTAGACTGGAAATCTGCAAATGTTGTCCCCGTCCACAAGTCTGGCCCAAAAAATCTGGTACAAAACTACAGGCCCATCTCACTGACAAGTGTGTACTGCAAAACTATGGAGCACATTATTTACACTAACCTAATGAAACACCTTAGTCTGATCAATTTCTTTAGCCCATTTCAACATGGTTTTCGTACAGGATTTTCTTGTACCACGCAGTTGCTCGAGTTGTCACGACATTTCACAATCGTTTGATAAGGGCTGACAAGTTGACTGTATCCTCCTGGACTTCAAAAAGGCTTTTGACATGGTTCCTTAAGATCTTCTTACAAACAAGCTTCACAAACTAAACATAGATTTGGAAACTTTCAATTGGATTGGCGATTACCTAAATTCAAGAAAACAGTCCATGTTCATTAACGGCCTTACAGTCCTCTTATATGAAAATAACATCCGCAGTCCCACAGGGGTAGGTAGTTGGCCCTCTCCTTTTTTTTTCGATATATATTAATGATACAGTACAAGCCGTCTCTTCACATATTCAATTACATGCAGACGACTGCATTTTGTACAGTGATATGACCTGTGATGCTTGAGAGGATATCGCACCTCCCGAGCCCTATGCAATTCCAATGGCAACTTTTTAGTATATTTTCTCAAGAACCAGCAAACGGATTGACTTGGCATTGGTTTTATTAGAAAGATAATAAAAAAACAGTAATACTGTGGTGCTACATTTTTCGATTTTTAAGCTAACATTTTTTATGGGAACTGAAAGATGATTGAAAAAGCCTTTTTTTATCGTTCCATGCTTCATAAACCTTTAAAAATAAATCGGGGCCTAAATACAAATTTAGGCTCGACAATATTCAAGACCAGGACTTTTTGAATATATTTCTTACAAGTTTTTTTTTTTTAGAGATTCTCATTGTAATAAATTTTAACCTGGTTTGTAGCCCATCAAAACCTAAAAAAATCCAGCTGTCTGGTGGCACCATCTATGAGTGTGTCCGCAATACTTGCTTTTAAAATTGCGCAATGCGTTATCGTGCCCCGGACTACTTGCATCTTTAAGGTCGTCGGGTTGACAGTCGGGATTTTGAGGAAGAGTGCCTCTCAAAACAGATTTTTTTTCTTGGGGGGAGGGCGAAGATATTTTGCGGGTTATCGCGATAGTGAGTAATAGGTTGTACATCGCCCGAGCGCGTCCTTGGGAGGATTTGTAGGTGTTTTGGCGTCGCACTAATGCAAGTAAAAAGTTTTTTTTCTTCTTTTTTTTGTTTAGTGGCGGAGATATTTAGCAGGGTTGGGCAGAAATACTCAGAAATGTATTTGGAAATACAAATACTGGGATACATTAAAATAGTAGCTAAAATACTGATACTGAAATATATCTGTAAAAGTGTATCGCAATACGTATCGGAAATACATTTTAAATAGAGGCGAAAAGTATTTGAAAATACAAATACAGGAATTCATTTTAGGGAGGGCAGAAATACAAATACAGAAATACTGATCCTGCAATACATTTTTCAAATTTGTTTGAGATGCCAAATGAAATGAAGCTTGAAGTTGCAAATGGAAGTTTTTGATCCTGAAATCACTTTCCCGTAGGCTTGGCGCTTTGCCTTGAAGGTAGTGATTTTGGACGACGAGGAGTCTTCAATGGGCTCAAAAAAACATTCCATCAAGGACTGACCGCGGTCCCATCCCGGACATCCTGTCTGTCTGACGAGGGATGCGAAAAGACTTCAACCTCTAAATAGATTTTATGTCATGCTAAATCCCATCAAAACATCACCACGCCCCTGTCCAATAAGGACGCCCTTGTCAACAACTATCACATGACGTCACGGTGGAATCAACTGGTATTCTTTATCTGTAGGTGTGGCCTTGAACATGAAACTTTAACACACTGCTGTATGAAAGGACAATACATACTTTCATTGTAGGTTACCTCGTTGAAGATCGTGCAGGCAGTGTCATTTGGAATTTTCGAGAATAGTGGACCACCTGAAGCATTTTGGAAAACATGTCTTAGTTTCTGTTACGGTTGAAAAAAATGATACGGTGGCATCCCTGTTGTAAAGGTCCTTCCTGTCGACCCTCCGCCACCGACGCATGGATTGCAGTCCAAGTTTCGTCTTGCATACTTAAATAGAGACCTCGTGAATTGCGACCTCATATTGCCGGCACAGGTGCGAGCTCTCCGAGAAACAGCGCGCTCGAGACGCGTCGCAGGTGTACGAAGTCTGGGTCGGCACAGCGAGGCCACGTCTGACCTCCTTCCTGGCTTTTGGATCACCAGAGCAGCGGGTCACTTTCACGTCGGCTGATTACGTACCCTTGAGCCGTGCAATATTATGGGCGCAGCCGCAGACGCATTCGAATATGTGTTGAACTTCACTGCGTGGGCCATCCTACTATTTCAAGTCAACCACCGCCAGGATCGTGCTGCAACGGACAGTGACTCAGCTTCGCCGGCTGGGTGTACTGTGTACGTTAAGGCGAGCGAGACGGTTAGCAGCGGGCTTTGGATGCCTGCAAACAATGACTCAGGAAACCCCTACCTAAGGACCTGCGGCACAAGATGCTCTGACTCCACTCCTGGCACGCCACCTGGTTCGAGTCCCTGACTACGCAACATTTCTCAGAGGAGAGAAGAGGTCGCAGAGAAAAATAGTTGGAAGGAAGCTTGGTCAGCATAGTAACAATGCCCCAGCATCTCCCTCACCCTGGTGCCCTCAAAAGTTAAAAAACAAAAGCGTTCGGATTTGTATTTTTTTTGGGGGGAGTTTCTCAAGAAATGTAACGAAATACATTTCACCCTGACTGTATCGCGATACAAAGGAACATTCAAAATGTATTTCGATACAGGAATACAGATACTGATGAAAAAAATGTATCGCGATACAGAAATACAGATGCGAAATGTATTTCTGAAATACTATCGCGATACATTTGTATCGCGATACTGCCCAACCCTGATATTTAGCGGGTGGGTGAGAGTCATTAGTTTTCAATCGCCGGAGCGCATCATTGGGAGGATGTTCCATTCTTTGTTGGCATTTCGGGTCAAGAAAATGGGAGTGAAAGATTTCACGCTTCGAGCAGTCCTTGCGTGAGGCCTGAAGTTAGCAAATGCAGGCAGACAAAAGCTACTGAGGGGTCAAAGAGTAGATACTGCCTTACTACTTCTTTCTGTTCGAAATAGGATAGATGATTTGATCTGGCGATTTCAAATATTCTCCAGAGATGCATTTAAAATGTTTACTCATTTTAAATGTGGAGGAAACATACGTAAGTTCGTTGATTTTGTTTTAATTTC